CTCCTAGTTAGATTGCAGGCATGGTGGCTAGTGTAAAACTCAGGCAGACTACTTAAAATAGACAACCAAAAGTTGTACGTGTGGCTAGATGTATCCTCATCATAATTGTAAATGTTGTTAATTATCTAATAAAAAGCCCCTGGCCATAGAGGTCACCTTAACACCGAAAAAAAAAAAAAAATTAGAAATAATAAATTTAAAGATTTTATTTTATCACTAATTTAGACATTTAGTCATATAGTATTTATTTAGTCAACTATTTAGTCATTCTGTCAAATTTAGAATTTTGATATTTTGACAAAAAATAATATCATGTCAAAATATATTTCAATACAAAATTGTCTAAATATTTGATAAAATAGAATATTTTGACTAACAATATTAGTGTAGCTAGTTGTACTTTCATCTTAATTGTAATAAGTTTCAAATACTTAATAAAACAGTTTCTGGCCAAAGAGGTTATCTTAATAGTATAAAAAAAATAAATAAATCTAGTATCTAAAAAAATATATAATTATATATTTTTTTAAATTACTTTATTAATTATTTAAATTTGGAATATAAGCTTAGATGATTTTGTATAATTTTAAATATTAAATATTAGACATAGTATGAACATATTTCATATACAATACTATTTGCTAGTATAATTTGCTATTTATTGTACTGTTAATTTTGCAAAAGCTACTAATACTATAAAAAGTAAACAAGCTCAAATCATAACTATACCATTTCAAACTTTACTGTAGACTTAATATAGAACTAGTTTAATAGTTCTTCAAGACACTTTCAATAGTACTGCTTACTATTTAACTCTAAAATTTGAAACTTTATCTTGTTAGACCAAAATTACCTTAGACTAGTATTTGATAGTTCAATGTTTATATTTTTTTGCAAATTTGTGTCACTTTTTTTTAAAATAATCACTCAAATAAGTTTTTTTTTCTCTTAAACTCCAATACTAAAGTATAGCTTTGAAGTATATAACAAAAGTAATCTTAAAAATTACAAAGTTTTTATTTACCTTCAAATATAATTATACTTGTATAGCATTAGAGCACTGATAAGAAGTAACTAAATTCACAATTCTTTTTGGATCGAGTCTTTCGTCACGTTTTTGGGTCCTGTGATGGCGGATTCGGCGCAGCGAGTTTTGGCGGTTTTGCTGCTAACAATATGTTTTGATTGGTACTCGTTTTCAAATATTTTTAATATGTCCATAAAAATAATAAATTAATTTTTCATAATATTCCATACATAAAGCATGGATTTCTGGATAATGAGCTGTATTATTAAATAAATATTTTTTTTGCTTTTTGGGATCTTTCTATAAGAAGTTTGTCTCTGTTATGCTTATAAGCTATATCATATTCATACTCAGGTACATATTTCTTAATTTCATCTAACATGTCTTTGTTTTCATAATATTGTTTACTTAAAAAATTCAATACCATTTAATGAATTTTTTGTCTCTTCCTCTGTCCTTAGCGATATTCCTCTTTGAGCAAAATATTCACTAATTTTCTCTGTATTCCATTTATCATTAAAGCAATTTGAACTGAGAACATTATCATCACCGTATGCGATAATGTAATTATATTTGAAAAAATCCTAAGCAGGCAAGCCAGTTAAAAATGTAAATGCCTCAACGAATAAGGTCAAGCAATATATTATGTTATCTGGTGACATAATACTTTGACCAGTACTATGCCCTTGATGTTTCATTTTGACTTCCCCATTGTACAGATTCCATAGATAACTGTTATACAAGTTATCATAGAATTTACTTGCATACGCTTAGGATAATTTTCATATCCTCTTTTCCTAATTTTTTTTTAATATGCGTACGTAGGAGTAAGTCATGGTTGAATCCATTGCAGTGATATCCATTGCAATGCGATGCTTATATTGTTTGTGTATTTCAAAGATTTTAGGAGGCATGGCATGGGCTGAACTCATACTAATAGCACAACCACCCATTGGATCAACTTTTTTATTTTGGTGTCCATTAACTAACATACCACTATAATAAGCTAATGGATCCTGCGCTATAATACAGTACTACGGATTTTTTCTTCAATTTCAACTTTGGAATACTTTAATACTTTATCTTTTAAAAAAACGTGTGAGACAAATGGTATGACTACATCTCCTTCAAGGTATTTGTATATTTTTTTGTAAAAATACTTTACGACCGCCAATTTTATGAATGAATTTTCTTCGACTAAGATTTTCCCCTTCAAGAAACCTATAAGGGAAACCCCATGAGTATGATAAATGCCATTTGCTTGGAGTTTCTTCAGGCGAGATTAAAGTACTATTTCCTAAGATTGGGAATAATTGGTTAAAAACTGCATCTACTATTGTTACGGGGTGATTCGTACGCTCGATAATCTATACTATAAAATATAGACTTTATGATATAAGGCAACTCGCCAGAGGCGTGACGTTGGTGATTTGGTTCATATAATATAAGGAAAATTATTATCGGGTTAGTGAGATTATGTGCCCCTTCCTCGCACATAAGTGTCGTAATCAACCTTAACCAAGTTACGTCCTTTTTATAACTTAAAGGACTAATGAGGCTTAAACAGAAATTACCTTATTGTATAGTGACTTATCCTCTTACTGGCCGATGAACTTCATAAATTATCTAAGCCTTAGAGCTAAACTAGGAACCGGAAACCGGTATAAGTCTGGAGCTCGCTTCAGCCCCTGGAAAGTCTTGTTATGTACATATGTCGTAAATCAAAATTTTCAGGGGCGTTACATCCGGAAAATACCAAAACTACGTTTTTAATATTTTTACTATAAATTATCAAAAACGTAATTTTGGTTATCAAAGGGCGTAGAAATATAAGTCTGTCGCTTCGCTCCAGACAATTATAACTTGTTTGTTTATGATGCCATTTTAGTCCCGTGACACTATCTCATTTTCATTTTCATTTTCTAAATCTGTAACTTTCAAATTCGTGAAATACCTTTCATTGCTTTTTTCAACCATTTGTACAGTTCCCAAACGTCTAGTGAAAATCCCTTCTGGGATGAGGATATTCCTTTTTAAATTTATTAATTAGCTCAGCTGTTATCGATTTCTCTATCGAATTTACGCAAAGGGATTGTTATCCCAATGTTGTATAATTCATTTTTTAATATTATAGACTGGAAATCTATATAGCTTTACTTTAATAATAATCAAAAAAGCTCATATAATTTTACTAACTCCAACTTAATTATCTTAAATTTTTTAAAATCAAAATACTACTTAATAGTCTCTTTATATATTCTTATTTTTATTTAATACTATCTAATATATATTTTTTCTTTTACTGCTTCTAATGCAACCTTTCTAAGTTCTCTTCTCATTAGTATATTTGTTCTTAATCTAATCTTTTATTACAGATAATCCACTTTTTATTTCTGATACTATTTCCAACTTTAATCTTAATCTTTCCCTATGAATTTAACTACTTAATACATATAATTTCATCTTATCTCTCTTTCTCTTTTCACTATTCTTCACTTTATTTTTATTCTCTTTATTCCACTCTCAGGGGTCTTATTTCCACCTCCCTTATTTAATATATACTACTATTTAATTTATTATACTCTACTGCCTCTTAGCTAATTATTTAAATCTTTATTAAAATCTCTAATTAACTCTATGAACAAATATAGAAATTATACTGTATTAACTTTTCTATCTAGAAAAAGGCATATCAAATATCCTCAAACCTTCTTACCCAACCCCACCAACAACATCCTCCTTGTCTTCATATTTATGCTTATAATATATTTATATACAACTGCCTTTGCAATTTACTAGATCAACTACACTCTAATTCAAATTCTTGTCTACCACTTGGTTTTGCCAATCACATATTTGATACCTGGTCCACTCTGCGGGCCCAGTTTAGCATCTCTACTAATTATATTTTAACCATTCAAATCTAGGTAAGACTTGACCACTTTAGTAAGTTTAGATCGCAGATAAATAATTAGTCTGAGCTGCATGTAGTTTATATTTATTTATTTGTATATAAATTGAGTTTTCATCTAGTTTTTCTATATGTTTACTTATATAAATTATTTAATAAAGATATGAGCAAGGCCTCACCTTTTAATACAAAAAAAAAAAAAACAGTATAATTATAAAAACTATTAATTTTATTTAAGTAGCCTCTGTAAATATTTTTATCTTAAATTAATATAATTACTGAATTATATAAAAATTTTTTTAAAAAAATTATTAGTATTTTTGCAAAATATTTTTATACTATTTTTTGCGAAAAAACTTTTATTAATGCTTTTTGTCCTTCAGAAACAATATATAACCTTAATTTTATTATAAAACATAATCATAATATAAAAATAATAATAAAAAAAAACTTTTATATTGTATATAGTCTAAAACTATAAGCAATACTTAAAATACCTAAAGCATATCACCATTTAGTTCAAAATTACAATCGAACTTCTATATACGTATCCTCCGGGACTAATAATTTGTACAGCATACACGCGAAATAACGCTCGTGCGCGCAACATAATATATTGGTGTGATAAATGATATGTTGGATTCAGAAAATCAACCTTTATTTCGAAATAACGCACATGGGCGAATCCGAAATAACGCGCAGGTGGACGTTATTTCTCGTTTATACGGTAGCATTTAGAGAAAGTAGTTTTTTTCTAAATGTTAATAGTTATGATGAGGCATAGGTGCAATTATAGAGGTATGCGCTTGCAGAGCATTCATATATGGAAATGCTGACTATAACTACAGTAATACGGCAATAATGCAAACTTTAACCTGTGCCGGGATATGAACATTTTATTGTTATTATTTATAAAACTTTTCAGATGTCCAATCACTAGCGCTAGAGTTGTGACCCGAAACCCGAAACCTTCAAATTAGAATGTTAATAACTAATGCACATTTACTATAAAATAATCAAAACATTTCTGAAATGCAATCTAACTATCATGTACTTTATGCCTTAAAGTCTAAAATTAAAATTCTAACCCTTTCAGTATAGTATAGAGTTTCAGAAAAGGTTTCAGGGTTTCGGAAAAGGTTTCGGGATTTTATATATAATTTCGGGTTTCGTTACCCAACTCTACCAATCACTATTACACAATGAAGTGTTTTAACTACCATGATACATTAATGTTCAATTTTATTTATCATGTGTATTAAAATGTCATGACATTTAAAAATCTGTAAATGATAACTTGCTAAAAATTAATTGTAAAATAATTTATAGAAATTAACAATTGACAACAATGCTTTCATATTTTACCAACTTAACGTATTTTTCCAC